TTCATTCTTCTTCATGGCTGCATAAAATTCCATTGTGTATAGATACATTTTCTTAATCCATTCGTCAGTGGTGGGGCATCTTGGCTGTTTCCATAATTTGGCTATTGTGAATAGTGCCACAATAAACATCAAACCTGGATCTCAATCCTCCTATTTATGCTTTCCAAGCAGCTGAGATGACAGGCATGTAGCACTGTGCCCAGCTTTTATTGATCAAGATGGGGTCTTGCAAAATTTTTGCCCAGGCTGGTCCTCTTAATCTCTGCCTCCTGAGTACCTAGGATTACAGACACAAGCACTGCACCTGTCCCTGTTGAATAAATCTTAACCTAGTAAAAATTATGTCATTCAAAACTTATAAAAATGATCACAAAATTGAAAATGCAACTATGTGAGGCTTGATTTGTTCGGATGATTTTGCAGCTGCAGTCACTCAGTGACAGTGCTCTTGTTTATGAACTGACAGACTTTGACTTGCTTCCCAGACACAAGAACACACAAGTTCACGGACACATTAAGCTGGGAACTGTGTGGTTTTCCCATAGCTGCTACAGCTGTTACTTTCTGTTCTGGAGAGTGACATGGTGCCTCATGGTTCCTCAGCGATCAGGTCATCAGAGTCTGAGCAGGTGCTTGTCTTAGAAGAAGCTATTACCAGGTGGAGGTGGGAGGATCATAGTTCAAGGCCAGTCAGGCAAAAAAGTTAGTGAGACCCTATCTCAAAAACAAGCCAGGCATGGGGGAGACCCTATCCAAAACAGAATTAAAGCAAAAAGGCTGGGCATGGCTCAAGTGACAAGAATGTTTGCCAAGTATGAGGCCCTAAATTTAATTCCCAGTACTGCAAAAACAAAACTAAAACAAAACAAAAGCCAGTTATTCTTCACATTAAAAGCCTGGGCCCTTGCTTAGTCTCCAAAAAGATCTTGGCGCTGGGACCAAGCGTGACCTAGGAGAACACAGGATCTCTGAGAAACACTCCCATGAGGTGTGGGGGTAAGGAAAGGCTCTGCTCCCGCTTTCACTTACTGTGGCCTTCCTTTCTGTCATCATAAACTTCTCCTCTACCTTCCAGAACAAAGTCACAATGGGAATTCTGGCAGCCATACCTCATGCTCTTTGGGAACTTTTTCCTATCAATTAGTGTCTCTTTCATATTTATTTACTTGTTTTTTTCAATACTGGGGTTGAACTCAGGGCCTTGGCTTTCTAGGCAGGCACTTTGAGCACTACCGCTTGAGTCATGCCCTTTTCACACCTTTCCCACCAGTCCCTTCCCCAGACTACAGACAGATTCTAAAACTCCTAATGTAAACTTTAAAAAGAAGAAAGGATGGGAAAGGAAAGAGGATGGGATGTCTCCAGTTACTGCATTTCTTCTTTCCCTGCACTGCCAAGTCAAGATAGTTTCTCACTCCTTGGACTTCTCTCTCTATTCCTCCAATGGCTGATCTGGCTCCTGGAGCCCTACCACCCAGCTAAGACTGTTCCAGGAAAGGCCAGGCAGTGACCTTCGTTCTGGCCAAACCAGGATGTCCTTTCCTGATTCCTCAGCAGTATCTGATGCTAGTCCTGCCTGCTTTTTGCCTCCATGGCCAGCTTTTAACATTGTTTTGGTGCCATGTTTTCTTGAAACTCTGATTCTTTGCCTTCACATCAGCACCCTCCCCTGGTTTCCTTGACAGTGACCAGCCCTTCTTGGCTACCATTGCCTTTGCCTAGCTTCACCCCTGACTGCTCTACTGTGCCACTGTCCTTGTCAGTACCTGTCCCCCTCCCCATCTCTTCTGAAGTCACACATCAGAGAATGTCACTCTTCTGTTTAAAGAGTCATAAAGAAGGGGCTCTATGCTTCTGAATGAATGAGTGAAAAGATGGATGGAGAATAAACCCATTACTGCTCCCTTACCAAACTCATCAACTTTGTCCACCTGGTTTTCCCTCTGAACCTTGCCTCAGGTCCTTACCTATCCTAGATTTCTGGTTTCTCCCAGTGGAATCCACACAGGTGTCACAGCAGCCCATACCCACATATCCAAGCTGAGTCACCCTTCCTCCAAACTGCCTCTGCACTGTTTCTGGCACCCAGAACAGCATCTCCCTCTCCCACAGTTCCTATCCAGTCATCTGACAAGTTCGATGACTCTGACCGTTGGGATTACTCTTCAACAGCCTTTCCTTTTCTACCTCTTGCCTTATCTAGACCAGGGCCAATAGTTTCCCAAGCTACTGCATCATGAGTCAGAAATTTTAATATTTTCAACATTTCTGTTCTTCAACCACCTTCCTCCTTGCCACAAAGGTTAGTTTTCTAAGGTTCAACGCTATTGTTCCTCCTCAAACCTCTCCCATAGTTCCCACTGCATGAAGAAGATCCAAACTCATTGAATTTGAGGCTGCCCTTCTAGGACCTGAATCCACAATGACCCCCATTCCACACACTCCAGCTATAGTGAACTTCTTTCCAACCAACCACCCAACTACCTGACTGGGAGGCAAGACTACACAAGCTGCTCTGGTGTCTAGCACACAGAGATCCTCAGCAGATGGCTGCTCAACCCAGCAGAGACTCTGCCCTTTGATCATTGTGGAAGCTCAGGAGGAAATCTAGTCAGGGTACATTTTTGTCCTCCTATTAAAATGCATCCTTGTCCAGTCAGCTGTTGGAGGTGTGTACTTGCCCAAGGGCAGCTACTGGCACTCCTTGAAAACAGGCCACTGAGCCTTTAGGTGTGAGTCTTCTTTTCTCTGACCCTTCCTTTTTAATCCCTTGACACAGGCCAGGAACTTCTGCCTTCATCAATCTTGGTGCTCTTGGGAGGCCTCCAGCCTCCGCCCAACAAGAAAACATAGGGCCACAGCTGGTCATTAGGGACTTGTGGAACAGGTACTTTCCTACAGGACAAAATGGCTGAACAGAATAGAAAGCACACTTTCCAGCAGTGGCCTGGATTCAAGCTAAATAGGTTTGGAGGAAAAGAATCCAGTCTCCAAATGTTTTAAGGTGATCCCACAAGGATCAACAACCTCAACCACTGCCTGTGTTATAGAAAATCAGTGCAGAAAACGGCTGGAAGATAGCAGGTAACCGTGGACAGGGGGTGCCTGGTCTTTTTCCAGACAGGCAGGAGACATTTTTCTGAGTCCTGTCCGCTTCCCTGATAGCTCACCCTCTAGCAAAAGCCACTTAAGGTAACAGCTCAGACTCTGAACCTCACAGTCAGTACACACTCCCAGCCTACCTTTCAAGAACATGCCATTCCTGGGCTTCCTTCTTCCCCCATCTCACCTCACCCCTAAACATAAGCCTCTGTCTAACCAGACAGGTCCCTTCAACATGCCACACAGATCTGCCCACACAGGGCCTTGGCTGTCAGTCTCCCACACTCCACTGTCCTAGCCAAACGCCATCTACCCTTCAATACTCTTGGAGTCCCCTCCTACGTGAAGCCCTTTCTGAGGAGTAGGGAAACGTCTGCTCAGTGAGCCCAGGACAACACCTTCAGCTTTTGCTGCACAGACCACTCCCGGCTTCCCAACCAGCTGGCCAGCTTTGGTCCTGTGTCAGATGTTCCCAGCCTCTCCCTCAATGGGGAACACAGAGCTGTGCACCCTCAGTAGCTGCTGCTGAATGGGTGGCCTAAGGTGCACCCACCACAGAGGAGCTACGAGTAGCCCCAAGGGGCAACAGCAGGAAGAAAATGGACATTTACCAAACCTCAAATAACACTAGTGCCTTGGCACTGTCACAGGTGCACAATCCACACTTGGCAACAATACTTTCAGGAAGACAGCAATACCCCACTTCCACAGACAGGAAAATCAAGGCCCATGGCTGGGGCATTGTTAAGCCACTTTCCAAGTCACACTCGGTGAGCAGTGGAGCCAGGATTTGAATCCACATCAAGGATCAACCTAGAATCTTACCAAGAGAAAACTTGCCCTCTCCAATGCTGCTGCCCTGTGTAATCCTCACTGCAGCCAGGCCTTAGGCTGAAAAGGGACTCCTTCCACTGCCCACAGAGGGGGAGTGCTGTGGCCCAAGGAGAAGCCCCTTCCTCAGAAGTACTGCCAAAGCTGCTGCAAACTAGCTCCGCCCTCCCTATACCTTTGTTTCCTTCTAGGGGAGCTTCAGCTCCAGTCTGATGGGACCTGACCCAGCTGGCCTGCTCTTCAGAACGAGGTGTTTGCTAAACAGGCTGGGCTGGTGGAAGCTCACTCTTTGCTCATGGTGACAAAGGACAGGAGGCAGAAGAAAAGGATAGTGTCACTGTCACTGGCTAGACTTGTGTGGGCCTGTCCCCATCAAACCACCAATATCTCTTCCCCTGCTTAGCATGGGTCCTCACCTTAGGGCTCTCACAGCCTCTATGGGTAGAGTGAGCACCAGGGGGCAGCAGACAGCACAGCAGGGTTACCTGCTGGCCTGCAGGCATCTGTTTTGCTTTCTAGGGAGCCTAGCCAGGGTACCCACAGGTACATGAGCTCTCAATGGACCAGGATCTCTGGAGATCTGAATCTGTTTGAGTAGAGTTTTTTAAAATGCTAGAAGCAACCTAGTAGTAAGTTATAAAATTAATTTAGTGAATCAGACAGCATTAAAAAATAAACAGAATAGAAAATATCGGAGTGTAACTATTTAGTAAAAACAAATATTTATGCAACTTTTGTTTAGCAACAGATACAAATCACAATGTAAAATGTACATTTCTTACTGTAGGTCACAGTAAGAAAACATTCAAAAGCCATGGCATAGAGCCACAGAGCAGAGACTTAGCAACAACTCGAGTCACTTGGCCATGGCCTGAGTGCTGAAGACAAGGCACTGAGTGTCTCTCCTTGGCCAAAGGTGGGCTACAAGTTCCTCAGGGGAGTCAGGGGAGGCCATGACACTGGTCTCAGGAGAGCTTAAGAAATGGGCAGCTGACTAGGGGACTGGCTCAGCCAGGTTCTGTCTGTCTGGAGGTAGGGAAAGCCAAGAGGAGCAGTTAAGGGCCTTCCCATGGCCAGCTGGGCGGGTAAGAAGGTGATTAATCACTTGAAGCATTTCAGCTGCGTGTGCTGCGTGACTGGGTAGATGCTGAGAAGACATCGGACCTGCGACTGCCTGGGCCACCTTCTTCATACCCAGGGGCCCAGCCTTTCCCAGGAAGTACAGAAAGCCCCAAGAGTCAGGCCCTACAGAACCCCAATAGGATGTCATGACTTGCCACTATACCAAGTGCCAGGCCCTCTGCAGGAGTGGGCAGTGGCTGGCCTTTTGTGCTCAGGCCTCACTGGGAAAAAACTTTCCACCTGTGGACAACTACTGCTGCCACACTCATGTTTCCAGAGCTTCCGCCCAGCGCCACTTGCCCTGGCTTCGCACAAAGAACTGTCAGTTCCATGTCTTGGGGCTGAGCAGAGAGCGACATCCTTACCAGGGAGCTTTTCTATTTTAAGGGATGAATGATAAGCAGTCTCTCTGCTGCCACTTCTGAATGACGTGGCAGTAGCTGCTGGCTTACCACACTGTTCCCCAGACCAGCCTGGCCGCAGAGCCTCAGCCTGGGCTCCGACCTCTACTGGGCTGTGGAGCCCCTGAAGCCAGCAGGAGTCAGAGCCGGATGCTTCTGGAGAGCCTAGGGCCTTGCTTTCCAGATGAAGCTGCTGGGGTAATTAGGCTGAGCTCCAGCTCATGGGTCGGCTTGAAATTTGAGGTCTCTGAGCTCAGAGGTATCCTGTTCCAGGGACAATATTTGGCATTTCAGCTTTCAAAGGCATTTCCTGATTCCTCTTAATTGCTACAGAGGAAGCTGCTTTTCTAGGTGCCATTCTGGTGCGGGAGGGGGGGGGGCAGGCCTGAGCCCCTAGAGGGTACTTGCTTGGCTGCGCAGGGCCTCCTCTCTTGTTTGAGAGTCTTGGAAGTTGTTCAGAAGTTAATTAAGCTGCTGGTGCCCTGCAGTGGGCAGGCTACAGACAAGGCGTCATAAGAGAGCTCTGCTACCTTCTGTCAGAGCTGGCTTGACAGAGTTCTCATGTCTTGGGTGTGACAGCCCCATGCCAGGGAGCCCTGCCACCTGAGGCATCAGGCATTTTGACTGTGAGGTGAGGCTACCCTTTCACGTTATTTCTGAGCACTTGTTGGTCAAAGCACTTGCCTGATGAGGATGAGGCTTGCCAGCATTTAAGTGGAGCCATTGGCCCCTGGAGTGTGATCCTGCCCAGGGAAGGGTCAGAGTCTGAACCTTGGTTTTGCAGATGAGGTCAGACCTCAGAGTGAGAGAAACTGAAGAGGACCTTCCTTGGGAGTTGGGAGTGCTTACCAGCCCATCATATGGTCACTTCGCAGCCCACTTCAACTCACTCACCCAGAGCCCTTTTCTTCATAAAGACATACTTTTCCACACCCAATGAGCTTCTTTCTTTTCTGCCTCCATCTCTACAACAGATGTTTCATTCAAGCAGAGGGGCAGTGCTCCAGAGGCTGGGATTTAAACTCAGGCGCAAAGCACTGGAGAACCTCACAGAGCTCAGCAACCAGGGCAGAGGCCAGAGAAGCACAGAGCAGGCCAGAACCCATCCCCAGCTCCACCTTCCCCTCCTTGTCACACACCCTCACAGTTGGGAAGCCAGGGATGTTGAAGTCTCTGCAGACAGCGCTGTTGCTTTCGTCAGCACAGTCCAGGGCAGCAAGATTCAGTGCCGGCCGCCAGTCTGAAAGGACAAAGAAAATCCCCATCTCTGTAAGCAAAGGGAGCTGGCACACCCTCTGCTGTCCCACCATGAAATACACCAATGCCATCAAGCCCCACAGCACCTGACCCCAAAGCTTTTGTAAGAAAATGTCACACCCTTTTCAGAAAAGGACTCTCAGACACTTCTTTTAATGTGCATTTAGCCAGAGTCTCATGAGAAGAGGCTGTGCTTAGGATACAGTTAACTAGTACAAATAATGCTGCCTTGTAATGGGATCTGTGCTCTGTGGGTGGGAGTGGGGCCAGAGGGACTGAAGAGAGATGTGAGAGGAGCCTGGCCCCTAGGAAAGGCCCTAGTATCACATCCATCTCTGCAGCTTTTAAGAGGCTGACCAGAACCAAAACGGTGCAGAGCAGGCCGCAGAGGGCTTGGAATTCCCTAGCTTTACACCTAGATCCTTGGTAAATCCCAGATGGTTTCTGGGGCCAGAGGTACTGGCAGTCAGTCCAAATTGAGTAGGTCAGGCATAGGATACTGGGGACTGGGATTCTAGCCAAAGATGGAGTCAGCAATCCTGGGAGAGGAAGAAGACACCTGGAATCCAGGAACAGCAGGAAAGGAAGACCTGAGGCCACAGTCTGGAAGGAGATTAACCACTCTCCCTCACCGGGCCTCAGACTGCTAGCCCTCTTTCCCGGAAACTAATTAGCAAAGACAGTAATGGCCCAGGCCAGGACCTGTGAAGCAGAAAACCAGCCTATGCCAGGCAATTCTCCTGAGCTCAGATTCCAGGTCTGGGACCCATAAGTACCCACAGAAGTTCCACCCTACACTAAGGCTGCTCCTGCTACAAGAGACCACAGGAACTGTAAGAAGGCAGTGACTGGTGTTAAATTACGTGGCACAGACTGCCAAGAGTTTGGATACTGGAGAGATCAGTCCTGTGAACCAAGGCATGGACTTTGCAGGAAAAGTGGAAATTGACTAGACCCTTGACACTCAGTCCAGTTGAGAAGAGGAATACATGGGCAAAGGGAGGAGGCGAAAACTGGAAGACTGGGAGAGGCTCTTAAAGAGAACAGGGCTGTCTGGAGAGGAAGCTCTGGTCTGAGAGTGGCAGGAACAGGCCACTGTGAGTATTTGTCTAAAAGGGTCAGGGCTGCTCCCATCACACCCTGGAGCACAAGAGTGAAAGAGAAAGCCTGCCTGGCCGCAAGGCACAACCCTGCACATGCCCCCAGCACAGACATCCAAGATTCTATCTAGCCATCCACATGGAACAATTTCCCAGGGGGCAGGGAGTGGGCACACACAGCAGCCTACCCAGCACCCACCAGGTACAGCACAGTAGCATCTCAATAACATCCCTGACAATCACAGTTTTCCAGGACCTCTTACCCCATCCAGAACCTGTTTCTTATGACTGAAAATGACATTTTCAGAAGGCATTAGAGCTCCTAATAACATTTTATGCCCAAGGAATGTTACTCTCACTTCCACAAGCCAGATCCAAGAAGAGACAAACCCTGACCCACCCCTCAAATTATGTACCAGTGGAGACCTCCTTCAGTTTGAAACAAGGCAGAATGGGTTTCAGGATTGTGAGGAAGCCTGAGGCCATACCCACTCTCTCCTCCTCCTCCCCTTTCTTGCTGGCTCTCTGCTTTTGGCATAGAAGCTTCTGGACTCCTAGGAGGGAGTAAGTTGTGGGACAGGTGGCAAAGGGGCAGATAGAGGAGGTGATGGAAGTGTTTAGCAGAGACAGACTTTAAGAGGTATTTGGCAGAGATAGGGAAGCTGCATTCCATCACACCATTTCCTCAACCTCCCCATGCCCCATTTTGCCAAACCCTTTTGGGGTGCTCTTGACTTCCCTGGCACATAAGAGCAACAGCTTAAGCTTATTTGTATATCCACAAGCTGGTCTGCAGCCTTCAGCTTGAACCTCATTTGCAGAGCAACCTGTACAAAGAAGGGCTATGGACCCCATTCCCCATGCCCTGATGACCTTCTCTTTTTTTTTTTTTTCATAGAAAATGATGAATTAGACAGAAATTTATTTCCAAGCTCTTCAAAGATTATTGCAAACACAAATAAAGTATCCTCCTAAAACTATCCCAAATTAAATCAAAGGCACATCATCCAAGTAAAATACTTGTGACATGAAGAATTCTTTTAGGTTGTAACATTTTCACATTACTTTGTTTTTAA